CTGTCTCTTATACACATCTAGATGTGTATAAGAGACAGTGTAAGCACTGTGTAACTGCCTCGAGGGTGCTTGACCATTTTAACACAACGTGGTGCGATCATCCCCCTTGCGCGGAGTGCGGGTTCTCCACCCCGCACAACATGATCTACTCGACCACCATTATGGTTACCGCCAAAATAAAACAGAGGAAAAAAAAAAAAACGGTAACCTGGTTGCCGAGTTCACGAAGTGAATTGGCTTGTTTTACAACGTCGTTGCCAGGCGACGAAAACCCAATCCCGATGGTGATGGCAAACACCGAGGGGGTGGGGGGTCAGGAAATAGTCAACTCTTCGAACGCCATCTTCGAACAACCGAATCACTGCAAACCGCAACCAATTTTCAGAAATCACGCAGTTTCCGGTACATGACCTCAACGACACGAGACACTTCAACAACCCATCCCCTCGGACGTGTTATCACATAACGTCGAGGTCCGCGTGCAGCACAGGACATACCAAATAACCCTACATGGGACCGGGATGCTACACTGGAAATAAACAAGACCGCCATATCGCCCAAGGGCCACGCCCCGGAGAAAGGCGTTTCGTCAAAAGCTGCGGCGAAAGAAACCGAACAATTCACTACTTCGCGGTCAAAACATCGCGCGCAATTCCTGCAGCTCCCGGCAACCCGATCGCTGGCGCGTCTTTCGTGTTCACCCATCGCAATAGACCGTGTTCGGTTCATCGGCCGTCGCGGTAGTAATAGCAAAGCGTTTGGTGTTCGCCAGAAGAAAAAGGTTCCAAGTTTGCACCGACCAGTTGGTGTTCGACGATCATCATTGCGACAAGGGCGATTCAGGGTCGTGCAACAATACCCAGGGTGTGTGCCGGCGTGTGCAGACATGGCCGAGAAGAACGGCACGTTGCAAGGGGGTGACGCGAAGTGCAGTCGACGAGGCGTCACGCGGGGGGTGGGTGGGAGGGAAGGGGAGGGATTGTCAGACAAGTATCTTCATTTCCGAACACCGCCCACCTGACATTGGACAAACGCTGGGCGAAACGTTTCTGGTTGGAGTGGCGAGTGTGGCAAAACTTCACGTGAAATCCGGATGCGGGCGTGTATGCCTCCCAAACTTCATCGTTGAAGGCACTGATCCCCGCAGGCACGAAAAAACAGGAAACGAAATATAATCCGCCAATTGACTTCGAGAGATGGCCAGGAAAACAAACTCTTGAAAGAATCGCTAACCCCGCCGGCAAGCTCCAAGAATTTCTCTCGGCGTCATACTACACTGCGTTTCTCTTGTCGCAACAAACGCTGCAGCGCAGCAGTACTACGTGCTTGTCTGATTTCTCCATGGGTAGAATACTTCCTTCAGAGAGTGGAGAGTCGAACGAATGACCCATGAAGAGCTTGATTTGTTGGATAAGAGCCACTGCTACCAGCGTGTCCATGTGCATGAATGCCATACTCGAAAGTTCACGCGGACGCGAAAACGTCAGCCGCCCTTGACAGCAAATCCACCTCAACTCGCGAGAAAAGACGCCAAGTCATCACAAAAAAAGCAGGGAAATTGACACAAATGGGTATACCCACGACATTCTAGGACAAAAGTGGGTACTCGAAAATCCAGCGCGCGCGCACTCCATAGGCGGCCCCCAAACGACTCAAAACCCCATTCTGACACCTGCGCGACACAGCCAGGGACCATACACAGCACGGGCATCGATTTTTTCCCACTTTCAGGCACACCTTTGGCCCTAATACCGCCGAGGCGCGCAGGGGGTCACCATAGTGCCCACTTCTGGCCGACATCTCGGTGGGTTTACCCACCAGCGTCAACTATTTTTTTCATGTACCCACTGATGTCTATATTTTGACCCACTTTTGTCCAAATTTTTACCCACATTTGTCCACTTACGGACGGCGTAAATCGAGCGGAAATCGACCTCCACGTCACCGCATGGCAGAACATCGAATAGCCTCGGAACGTCTCAGAACCTCCCAACACCGCATCCATGGCATCTTTCGTATCCATGGCTGCCGACTGCGGACCGACCGCGGAGGAACATGTCAGACACGTACCAGGCCCCTTCGGTACCGGCACGGGAGGATACCAGGCACGGGAAGATGCCCGCGGCAAGCCCGGCAAGCAGCGCACTAACGGCAAAAGCCACAAGTAAATGCGTGACACACAACGGACAACAAAACCAACGGGCGCGCATACAGAACAAAAAGACGCGCATACAGCAACAACACACATACACACAAAAACACCAACCACCACCACGAGTGCACACCGACTCGTGAGGGCAGCAGCAGCATGTCGATGCAGTATACCCTGCAGGGCGCCCACTCAGGGTCAAGCGCGGGCACACCTCTGTCAACTGCTGGCGGCGCCATGCTTGAAGGGGCAACTTTTCCGACGGTTAGGTTTGTAGGGGATATCAAGCCGGAATTTCACGTCGTATACACAATATGAATGTTGTGCATATGAATACCCTAATAATATGATGTTACGTGGCAAAGTTGTGTCCTCTGGCCGCTGTCCCGAACTCCCCACGGACGCTTTTGAACAAGGGGAGACACTCGTTGACAACAAACGCATATACAACATTGACCACGGTGATGGAGCAAAAAAACGCACAGAACAAAATGCGAATTCACGCCGGGGTCAAGTCGAAAGCGCACCACAAGATTTTCAGCGAAATGAATCGAATCGAATCGGAGGCAGGCAGGCAGGCAGGCAGGCAGGCAGAAGGCAACCGCACCTGAATGGCAGAGACCATCCACTCCCTCTGCTTCGCGATCCGCTCAGCGTCTGCGGGGTGTGTCGACATGTACGCCGGTCCCTTCGAGATGCCCATTTTCTTCGTCCTCGCTTCCATGCGGCCGAACGTCTGCGAAACGCCCAAAACAAAGAGTATTCGACAGGCGATGCGGGTATTGTTGGGGAGCGTAATTCTTGTCGAAAAACGAGTCGCTCCTCCTTTCTTTGTTGCGTTTAGTTCTCCGAAGGTGTGGCGCCGATATTGGGTAATTATGGTTGGTATAACATGGTTGGTACATACAACATGGTCTATGACCACATAGGGCATCCGGGTCAGTTGAACGGTAGCGGATGCTATTGCAGAAGGTACCCAGAAGAGAAGGGAACGGTTGTAAACGTCAAGACGACAACTAAAATAACGACGACGACGACA